CACCCCACAGACGAGGTGAGGTAAGAGTTGGAGCCAGAGTGCTGTGGCATCTGGACAGACATTCTCACATGCTCCCTCATATGCACACACACACACACACACACACACACACACACACACACACACACACACACACACACACACACACACACACACATACACAGAGAGATATACTCTTGTCATAACCCACACTGACACACACCTGGACCTGGTTACAGGACTCAGAGGGAAGCCTAATACTTTGTGCATGCCTGTGAATATTAGTGGGGTGTGAGGGGAATTCTGGGCTGCTGTGATAGAGACTGTTTATTTATTTATTTATTTTTTACTTAAGCAATTAAAGTAAAAACATTTACCCATGCCCTACACATTAGGGTACTTCTATTCCATCAAATTAAGCTTAAAGTGAAAAAATGGAAATTTTAAATGTTTGTTACATTGTCGATATGAAACATCCTCAAATCCTTTATAAAATAGAAATATCTCATAAAATAAATGTGGTTTAAAAAAGGGTAGAAATTGACAAACTGACAGTAAAAAATGATATAAATATAAAAGTTAAGCTTTTGCTTCATGTTTTCACTCTTGCATCTTCAAAGCATCGAGTCCAGGTGTGGCTCAGAAAACAGCGGCCCCAGCGGTGAGTCGCTCCGAATCAACTCCGAACTTCTTTCTGAAGCCCCGACTGCCACGAACGGCAAGAGAACAAACGGGCCCGTGGGCAAGCTTACATAAAGCCCCCCCTCGAGCCACCAGGTGTCAAACACACAGAAACAAATAAAATAAAGGAAACACGCTCTGGCTGTGTCTTCTCAGATTATGATTTTTCCAAAAAGCCTTAACTTCTATGCATTCTGAAACTTTAAAAAGTAAATCAGTTTGTATTTTTTTCAAATAGTTTTGAGAAAGTGATTAGGTAGTGTTGTGCTTATGAACACTAATGCTTATCTTTATTTTTTCATTGTGTTTGTTATGTTTCTTATTGATTTAGACAATAAAATAAGTTTAATCTCTTGTAGACTACTTCTGGCCTTAAAGCAGTGCTTAATTTGAGCCGGATCTTGCCGGAGCAAGATCCGGGAACTATTTTATTTTGAAAGGACCATTCCTGCAACTGTCTGCTAGGATCCGGCAACTCACGCAACAAACTTGTGCTATACGCAGGATTCGAATTACAGGTGAACTAAAGCCCTCAGCTTACACATCCAGGGGGAGTCCAAAAACGATCCTGGTTCTACTTATATTACATTATCTATGTGGACTCTTCGGGATTATTTTGAGCTGAGAGGCACAGAGCTCTGATGGTTGACGCCCTCCAGACAGATACGTCCTGAGCACGGCCAGTAACATTATCAAAGTGTTGCCACCTCAAAAACAATCTTAACACGCGATCGTTTATGCCGGCTCATGTTCTTTTATGCTTTCTGCCTTTTATTTGTGTCTGATGCATTTTGCTGCTGCGGTGCAGAGCGCATCATCTGTTTCGTCTTCCGGCGGCTTCACCGCAGCGATGCGGTCTGCGCGCGGCGCGCACTCCGCTATTTCCACACTCCGGTCAGTAGATCTGTTTGAACTGCAGTTCAAAAGTCATTCATGAGGTGAAAATATATGAAGCCAGGCAGCAGTTTTTCTTTAGGATTGAGAGGAGATACAGGAAGATAATAAACAGACAGGATAGAAAAATAGTCAAATAAAAACAAGTTCCTTTTTGTGCCTGGTGGTTGCAACAAACAGACACCATTGAAGGTAATCAGAAGTGAGGAACAGAAAATTAAATAATTATTTCAATGTTTAGAGCAGCAGGAACACTGATAGGTTGCAGGCGCACCAGTGAGTTTGCGGCCGCGTGCAGGGGAAGGGGGGAGAGGGCTTAAGCAGGGGAACAGTAAAGATGGAAAAACTACCATTGTTAAAAGAGATGTGTGTTAACTTTGAAAATGTGGGCACAATTTTAATTACTTGTCCGTCCCCTCCACCCGCACCACCCCTTGCGTGTTCGGGCATCTTTTTTACCTTCAGTGAACTTCGGTTTGACATCAATATTTGCGTTCCGGGAATGTTTGGTTTATAAATTAAGCAATGCCTTAAAGCAGGGGTGTCAAACTCAAACTCACACGGGGCCGAAATGAAACTCTGGGACGGAGTCGAGGGCCAAACTAAATATTTTTTGAAAAAGTGACGGCAAATTTGCACATTTTCTTTATCAACATATATGCAATTTTGAAACTTTAAATTTGGAAACAAACTTATTTCTACATTAACACTGAATGTGGAATAACCAAATTACACACGAGCAAGTCAGTTTTAAATAAAAGGCATCAGTGGTATTCATTACTTGTGGTATAATCAGCATTTTAAAAATCTTTAAAATCTTTAAATCTTTTCTCACGGGCCAACAACAAAATAAAAATATCATTTTATCTTAAATGAAAATGCAACATCTCACCTGTTAACTTTCATGTTTTGGAGCAGAAAAACAGCATAAAACGAACATATTTAAAGCTCAGTTTGCTCCACTGGTTTACTGTGATGCTCACCTGTTCCAGCCAGATACCTGCATCATGGGGTTGATCTGAGCTGAGGAGGAGATTCCTGTTGTTTTGTTCATCTTCATCATAATAATAACAACATTAGATGACAACAGGTGCTCACATAGGTTTGTGCTGATGAACATGTCTGAGCAGCTTGACCAGGTTGTTGTGTGTCGGGGAGGAAACACAACGACAGCAGCCACAGAGTCGTGCTGGTTTGAGCGTGTCGCTGTTTGCTGGAGTTATATCAGCTCTGTCTGGACGTTAGTTGGAAAACTTTCTCTTTCAGTCGTGAACACATTACTGAGCGGCTAGAATCTCCGTTTCTGGGCTTCAGCGTCAGAAAATAGCTGAGTGAACTCGGCGCTGAGTGAGAGGAGTGTTTCGTTTGTCCAAGACAGCGGAGCTGCAGACACCGGCAGCAGGTGCTGGAAAAAACACAACGGAGGGGGCGCGTCGGCTCCGCGCTGACGCCGCAAAGCATCATGGGAGTTGAAGTCTTTGCGGTAAAATCAGCCAGCGGGACAGTTTTAATATATTTTTGATATTTATCTCGCGGGCCACATAAAAATGCTCCGCGGGCTGCATCTGGCCCGCGGGCCTTGAGTCTGACATATGTGCCTTAAAGTGACAGGATTACGATTAAAAACCTGTTATATCCAGTCTCAGACATGTCAAATGCTCCCTGCTGGAGGGCACCCTAATCCTATAGGTGGAAAGGGACAAATTGCTAACTTTCGGGATAAATGAACAGTCTTAAGAAAAACATTTTTTAGGTGTGTTTCCATTGTCGGAACTTCAGGGAAAAATCTGGAAGAAGGAAAATGACCGGTATATTGGATGGCCCGGTCCTCTCAGGTGTTGTGTCTCCATTCAAATTCAGTTCTTTAATGACTTACAGATGTTAGCATATCGCGGCTGCGTCGGCAGGGAGTATGTCACTGATCAGCACCAACAAGCATCTACAGTAACATTAATAACATTAAAAGTTTTATTCTAACCAGAGTACAGCATAATTTGGTCAGTTTGGAGGACAAGAGCAGCTGCGTGATGTAAAATGTGGCATTCAATGAGCAGAAGGAGCTCAGTCTTTTTCGGCGGTTTTTGAGACCAGCTCCGTGAATTACGTCATTGTGGGGAATTCCGCCATGTTCTTGGTGCTGGGATTTTAGTAATGGAGATTTTAAAACAGCACGATCGTACTTGTTTTCTTTTTCGTCCATTCTGCTTCACAAGCAACTCTTCTAATTTTACTAATGCTGGCTGTTTTGAACGTCTGCTGATGTCATTTGTTACAGAGTTACAACCAATCAGGCTTCACCAAATGTTCTGCTCAACTTCTCCACTGGGCCATTTCAAGTACCCCTCATCAGGTATGTGACCAACCCAGAGGTTCTGCTCTCTGATATCCTGGAGATCTCCTGCTGCAGGCGCCAAGTCTTGCAACCCAGTCGCATACCACCAGAGGCCAGTAGAGAGCATTGTGGAGCATCTGCATCCAATTACTCATCAGCCGTTCCTGAAGCCCTTTTAAGCCTCCCAACTTCATCCTTCATGGAGACACAGCTACAGAGGAGACTCGGGCCCTGTACACACGTAGCCGGGGATCTGCCAAAACGTAGATATTTTTCTACGTTTTGGCCTGTCATCCACACGAAAACGGAGTTTTTTCACACAAAAACGGATCTTTTTAAAAACTCCGGCCAAAGTGAAGATCTGCGTTTTCTCCGTTTTGGGTGTCTGCGTGTGGACAGACAAAACCGAAGTTTTAAGGTCCGCAACGTCACTTTTTAGTTAAGATTTCTATCTTCTGTTTTGTAGGTTGTTTTAGTGTGAATGGTTTAGGTTTATTTTTGTTTCTTTAGTGGTCGGTACAGTTAAAAACAGGCGTGCCCCTTCTTGGACTCCTTTAAGTTGTTGTTGGTTTGCTGCTCCCTGTTTTAAGCAGAGGGGTTTTATTTAGTTTGTTTATTAAATACCTTTTACCCCACTTTGGTAAATAAACCTTCTGAAAAACAACCATTTCGTTAAACTCCTTCCATTCACTTATTTTCCCATCACAAACAGAAACCGTTCATCATTGTCCATTCCTTTTAATTTTACATTATTTTATTTTACTCTGTGTTCTCACCACTCCTAGACGCCAGAGGGGACGTAACAAGGTATTCAGAATGTTCCTGAAAATGGCCGTTCGGGCAGCCTGGTCGAGCGGAGACACATGCATGCTGGGAAGTTCCGGTAAAATTACCCTGAAGTTCCAACAGTGGAAACGCACCTGGTAATTGAATTTCTGGCTTAGAATTGTTTAACTGTTTAATGTAAAAAGGTCCAAAATATTTTTATTAAACAAATAAGTAAAAAGCAAAGGTTCTGTTGAAAATTTCATATCATAACATTTTTTGATAATTATAAAAGGAGACCATTACATAGAAGTGGAAATTGAAGCAGGAATGAAAAAATAGAAGCTTATTTTGAGGGATTTTAAAAGAACATTTTATTCATCTTGGATTTTAAAAAGAGCTCATTTGTAGATACGACAAACAATTTGATAAGTTTTCCATTGTACACTTATTCATCCCCTTTTATCCCCACATTCCAGCAAGATGGAAGGCTTTTATATTTGATTCATATTTGGGGAAGAATAAAATCATCTATTTTCCTACAGAAATAAACAAAGGAAATACCAACATTTATAGTCCATGGTCAAAGGAGGGAGAGAAAAAATGTAAATGCTAATTTACATCCAATCCCTACTGCAGATCCTGAAAATAACTTCTAACCAAATAGGTAAATACATGAAGCCAGTACTGATTTTTATTTCTTCTCTAAGTATAGTTTACACTTAACACTGTGGGACAAAAATTAGAACAAAGTCCATTACTTTGCTCTTTTTTTTTTAACACAGCTTTGTAAAATAAAAAATGTTGCCCTCTGCTGCCCGGATAAACGGAAGCAACGCCACCAACACCGGCTAACTCTGATGATGGCTAGAGTTACGAGCTGAAACATGTAAGGTAAAAAAAAAATATTTTTTTACTAAGATGTTTAAAAAATGAACAAAGTAATGGATTATGAATTTCGACACAGCACAAACTTACTAAAGTGTAGAGCAACATGTTATACTGTTTACAAGATTAAATCAACAAGAAATTCTTACATTTTTTGTTTGCAATGAAATAAATAAAACATAAAATAAGATGTGTAAATACTTTGGCACAGAAAATATATTCCTGTTGAAAACGGGCTATTGTCCGGATGACTGTGTGTTATGCAATCCGTTTACATCGCTATAATATATAAAATGAGGGATTTCCATCACATGCGTTCAAGAGCTGTATTTTATGGTTCTTGTTCCTAAATAACAAACTTTTACATTTTTATGAACTGATATTTTGTGGTCAAACATTTAATTGAGTTGAATCAGTTAAAGACTACATAAAACACATTGAAAATATATGTGAAACTAAATTTACAAAAATGTCTTTAATTGTGACCTCAAACTTTTATTCCAGTCTGCAAAAAAACTGTTTAAGCAAAGATTTTGAATTGCACTTAGAAACCATATAATGCATAGACACATAAAATAGTCTAATAATGGATAATTTTTTATCTTCTTGAATATTTGATAGTTGTTGATCAGTTCTACAAGCTAATGCTAATGTCTGCAAGGGTCTGAATAAATATTTATACACCTAATAGATTTGAGTAATCAGTCGAAAGAGTTGAAAAAAATATGAAACCATGAAAAACATTGAATCTATCAACTTTTATATCAGGATAATTGATATGATGTCATACTTGGTTTTTTTTTATTGCTTGATGCCAAAAACTTCCTAGTGTACAAAACTTATTTGGTGAGTGAAATTCAAGTTAAATTGGTTGCATAATCTCAGGTGAACATCCATTAACTTGAAGCCTCATTGATGTCTGACAGAAGAGTCCTCCGCCTTGTAGGGTGAATATTTCTGCAGCCATCCTGATCAGGACCAGAGAATCCTTCAAAGGCTGTAATATTTATATCTTGATCGTGTGAGCGTGCTTCTTACAAAGAGGTTTTTCCTTTCTAGAGTAGAAGGTTTGGCCCTCCAGAGTGGTACAGCACACCTAAAAAAGGAGTCAGAAAAAATAAAATGACAAAATACTTTCCAGAATTTTACTCAAAAATGGATCTTATTCTAACTAATGAATTCTGCATGCAATTGTACTAAAAACTTTGGTATTTTTACTTTGAATATTGAATTGGTCTGGTATGGTTGGATTTTCTTTTGGGTCTGTTTACTTTGATAGGTGTTGGTCCATATAAATCGATTAAAGAGCAAGTCACCCCCAAATCAACTTTTTTTGTTGATAAACTATAAAAACGAGCGTCTAATCGTGCTGTAGACACGTGTAGTCAATAATTTGGCACTTCAGTGCATCTTAGTTAAAATTTTAATATTCTGCCTGAAGCTGCCAGTGTGGCGCCGTCATCAGGTAAAAGTCTGCACAGCATTTTAATTTAAATCTGCCACCGCTATTGGCTAAGAGGTACACAATGATGTTGACTGGTACATTATGATGTCACAATGCCATTGTGAGCCTGTGTGTGTATTTGTTAGTGGCTTAGCCCTCTCAGTGTGCCAGGCAACAGCAATTGTTGTATTTTTCAACCATGAAGTGGGAGTGGAATAATACCCTGGTAGGTGGTGACTTGCTCTTTAAACTAAACACATTTGCAGTTGAAATGGAATGGGGAAAAAAAGTCAATCAGATTTTAAACGTGGGTATTTCCTTCCTCGTTTGGTCAAAAGAAATTAAATTAATAAGGTCCATAAGAAATCCACTTACAGCACAAACAAAACAGGTATCATGCCAGGTGTAACCAAGCGCCTCCAGGAATTTGTCCCCAGCTTCAATAGGAAACTCGCATCCATGGCAACCAGTCCCAAACAAATTGTAGAAGTCTAAGAAGGATGGAAAACAATAGTTTGTGCAAACATATTTTTGTCGTTTCTTTCCCATCTCCAAATGTACATTTTGAATTTTAGCTTGGTAAAATTCTACACAGCCCAAACAGCAGAGACAGTGTATATAGTTACCGACTACCCCCACACACCTCTCATAAGCCTACAGGTAGTGGGAATTCATCAGAAAAACCGCTGACACAGAAGACACTTACCCACACTTGTTCTAAATCTGCATCTGAGTGGTATTTGGAGGTAATTATATCCAGAGACTCAAAATAGTCTGGATGTTGGTAGTGTTGCAACTATTGGCAGATTTTTTTTAACATCACTGTTACTAATTATCAGGCAGACTTTGTGCATTTTTTTTTCTATCAGATAAACATTTATCAAGCGGGCATGAATTGAATGGTTTTGCCCTGGATGCTGCTTGGTTTAAATTGGAGTCATTTACATTTTGTTTCTGTAAAGCATCCTGAAATAAGTTGTGATTATTCTGACTGAGCAGAAGCAGGGTAGGCTGTGCAAAGGCACCAGTCAGTTATGCCATTCACACTCACATTCACACCTACAAGAATATCTGAATGACTCATCACCAAGCTGCCAACATTACTAATAATTCATCAAATGGTTACATTTAGGGTGATATTTAAAGAACAAGTTCACTGAGAAATAGTTTTTTATTTGTTGTTTTTAAATTCAAAAAGGTCACTCTGAGGGTGGCTAAACATGAAAATAGTCTTCTACCCCTATTTCCTGCATTAGCCACTAATTCAAAACTGACAGGAAAACTCTGGGATTAGAAAAGCCAGTCAGTTATATGTCACATTGTATATGATGGACTCACCTATCTTGGCTCTCAACGGGAAAAGATTTTGTTGATTTAGCATCCAGGACAGAAAAGAGCGCGTCTTGGTTAGTAGAAACTAATCATTAGCATTAGCAACTCCACAACATGGCAGAACTTCTTCAGGATTGTGTTATTTGTGGAGATAAAACATCAACGTTGCAGAAGTAATGTGAGGAAGTATGGGTTTTCTGTGCCAAAGGTCGTATTTGCCCGGCTGGGCCAAAGCTGGGTCACGCAGCACCTTCAACCACAGATTAAGACCTGAGCCGACAGCAAGTCTGAAGGACTCCACAACATCCAACACCTGCATCTCCAGAAGAAGGAATTCACACACAGCCTAGTCATAATAAAACAGAGTCTTAAGCTTTCTTTGTTTTTTAAATAATCACTAGTCTGATTTATTTCCGTGAATAAAATAAAAATGTCATAATATTAAAATTATGCTAAATAATCGATCACTTTGCTCATTATAAATGTATTTTAATCAAATGAATGATTATTATGCTTTGGGTAAACATAATGAACTATAATGAATCTGCATACTTAATTAAATAATGTTTTTGAAGATGTTTAGCGATGACCTTCACACTTCTCACACAGGTCTGTATTCACAGTAACTCAAAACACATTTGCTCTGACGCACAACAAGTTTGCTTTGGGAAGAGAAGTGGTTTTTGGTAAGTTAGTCAGTTCGAGAGAGAGAAGGAAAGAAAGAAGTGTGGAACCAACGCCACGGGGAAAGGATCCCTGCCCCCCCCCCCCCCCCCCACACACACACACACACACACACTCTATTTCTGTCAAGCCAGACAGAATAGCTGAAATGCAACCAGCTAACGCAGAAGAGCCATAAACCATTACGCTACACAGAGTTAATGGTAAAGCCATGTCACTGTTAGCCAATCAGAGGTGAGATGTCCAAATATCAGGAAATAAAACTCCAGATCCTGCTGTCTTCTGTTCACCTCCCTTCAGTCTCATTTGTCAAGTCCTGAAACAGGAGCGCCAGAGTATTTTTCTACGGAGATCGACTCATCAATTTGAAGTAGAGACCACTACAAATGTATTGGGAAAAAAACTAGTGAACTTGGTCTTTAAGGAGCAGTCACTATAATAAAACCTCATTTGCTTCAATTCTTAGTCTTTAGAGATGAGCATTTGTGTTGACCCGTTTCCACTGACCTTGCTCACAGTAGGGCTCTCCATCCTCCAGGTGGAAGGTGTTGTTCCGGATTGGCTGCTGGCAGGAAGCACACAGGAAGCAGTAGGCATGCCATGTTTGTTTGAGGGCATTTATCACCTCCTAGATACACATTTTAAAAATTGATTACTTGTCGCATCAGTGTGTACTGATGTGTTTTGATTTAAACTATTAATGATACAAAGAAAGGGAGTTGGGACATTTAATTTTTAAAAGCTGCAAAATGTCACATTTAAAAAAAAACACCAGTCTTACTTTTTCATCTGGTCCCATGACCAGGCTTAAAGAACATACTGTTTTTCCCACCCTTATGCTATAGGACCAAGAAAGAAGAGGGAATCAGTGGAAAGTTGGTGGGCCAGAGTCAAATGAAGGATTAGGAGAGAGCGAGTGAGAAAACAGGTTAATAAGAAGCTGTAAGCTGGTTGAAGATGTGTGAGAAGTGGAGGGTTGTAGAGGATTGAGGCCAAAGAGGTCAGAACATGTGAGGGATGAATGTCAGAGCCGCTCTCAGAAACGTGATTTTAACTTCTTGACACTTTGGGTTTAAACCACACCTGCAGCCTTTAGGCCTTTAAGCCTAATTACCCCCAACATCAGAGTGTGTAAAGCATTCCTAAGTTCCAGTGTTGGTCACTATAGCTATTTCTCTTCAGCTTTCCTGCAAGTTGAAGGTCAGAACTTTGATTCGAAAGTATTTTAAAATCGGATTTATTTGACTTTAGAAGCATCTGCACATTTTGGAGCCCCTAAGAACCAAAGACAGGACCTATTAAAACTGTTTCTAATCACTATTGTTCCAATTATGGCATTAATGATGAACTATTAGCATTTTTAGGTTCAATGATTTTGCACAATTACGTAAAGCTGTAAACCCATAAATACTTTGTGGGGAAAAAAACTAAAATAATCATGCTTTTCCAATTGTCAAATCTTATTCTTTTATTTTTATTTTTTCCCGCATTAAAAGGGGAAACCATGAGAATCTGAAACATGGAGTCAGACTGAAGAAAATTGTCACCTTTATCGAAATATATATACATACATATATATACACATACATATATATATATGTATATATACACACATATATATATATATATACACACATATATATATATATATATATATATATATATGAATAAAGCTAAATATGACAAATACACATATCTTCATCCATTTTTTTTATCCATACTAGACCTTTTCAGCCCCCTCTACTCACCCCCAGTATCTTAGCCTGACAGCGGCTGCAAGTTGGAGCAAAGAAATCTTCGTAGCAGTGTTCACAGAACACAGATCCCTTTTCTTCAACAAAACCTATGTCCGCCAAGGAGGTACGGCAGTGGGCACAGTTAAACTCCTCCTTGTGCCACGATGTTCCCATAGCAACCAAAAATGGCCCCCTGAAAGTAAGAGACAAATGGGAATAAAGTTAATATACAAAATCATTCAAAACTCCACTTTTGCATCATTTTGTGCTTGCATGTAGGCCTCTACTGCCACTATAAACACTCCAAATGAGAGAAAAATAAAATCAATCAATTTTCTGTAAGTGATTTTATGTTATAAAAACAAGCCATGTCAAAATGCGATAGCTTTCAGATTTCCCTGTTTGTGACATCACAAACGGGGAAATCTGAAAACAATCGCCTCTCACTTGCAAGAGAGCTGCTGCTGGAGGAGAAATGGCTAAACTATAAGCCCCTCCCAGTGCTGGTGCTTCTCAGCTAATAGCCTCAGCAAGGGATAGGTGGGCGTGGCCAGCTCCAGCTTGTTTTAAGGTGACAGAGCCCTGAAATAGCTCATTCTGGAAGACACTGAAAATGTTAATTAAACTGCTGAAATCACTTAATGTGAGAGGGACTAAGTGTAAAGAACATCATGAACATGTTTCATATCGACCGTAGAGCCATTATAACTTAAGAAAAAAATCATAATATGTCTCCTATAAAAAGCAGCTGATGGCTTTATTCTGTCAGCTGATCATCAACAGCCCGACCAGCCAGCCCCATGTTTCCTTATAGAGCTCTGGACGTCACGTGACTCTCAGAGAGTAGACGCCATGTTGGCAGGCAACAAAGGTAAACAAAATGAACGGGATCGGCTTGGATTTTACTCCGTCGGAGTTTACTTCACACTTTAAAACAGAAGAAATCGTTTTAAATAGTCAGAAATTAAATAGACTAAACATCTCTGACCCTTACCGTGCCCCTGGGATACTTTTTAAAAACACCAGAAGCTGTCGGAGTGGACCTGGCCAGGGAACGCCTTGGGATTTCCCCGTAGGAGCTGGCCCAAGTGGCTGGGGAGAGGGAAGTCTGTGCCTCTCGACTTAGGCTACTGCCCCCACGACCCGACTCCGGATAAGCGGATGAAAATGGATGGATGGACAAATAACATAGATTTACATGTAAGAAGTTTAAATAGAGTGCTGTGCTGTTTGAATGTATAAACTGAACACCAAGAGAAATCACTAGTCTGATTTTTTTCCGTGAATAAAATAAATACGTCAGGCAGGAGCGTCTCAGGATCTGTCTGAGATCTGTCTCGGTGAGACAGATAATAGCAATCCAAAGTGCTTTTTATGTGTGATCTGACAATTGATCAACTGTTGCTTAAAAAGCTTAGCCGGTTAATTGCTGTGATCATAAAACACGGAAACGGCAGCACGCAAAACTCACGAGGCAATGTTTTACGTGTTGTTTACTTGTTGCTATGAGTAATAAGACAGAAAAAGCCACGCCAAAATAAGTTTAGGAAGCCCACTAAGAATCGTAATGAAAGCATTTAAAATAAACACCATACACAGTTGAGGAAACATTGGTTTAAGTACCTGATATGAAGCGGTCGCTGCATAAGCGAAAACCTTTACTCTCGGGATCCCACAGTTTCATTTTAGCCCGGTCACTAGTGCGTTTTACTGCAATGATCCAACGTTTGCGGCATTCCGGATCTTGGGGAATCCTGTAGATGTCTCATTCCTTATGTCGCCTGCGTCTGTTCTGCATCCTGGGACACAACAGGAATCTACCATATTTCCCGTTTGATTGAGTTTTCTCACAACAATAACAACTAGTCCAGCTGCGGGCTTCTGCCTGCCAATATGGCGCCGTTTCGATTTGAACTGTTGCATGCCGGGAGAAGTGACGTCAACTCCCGGAGCTCTATTGGAAACATGGGGCTGGGAACTCTTCTATTCAAATAACCCCACCCCCTGGCAATTGTAACTGAGCCAATCAGCGCTGAGCAGTGTATGTCACGTACACACTGCAACGCCAAGTTTCTCATAAACAATGAAGATGGCATCTGAAGCAGAGTTAGCTGCAGCTCTTCCTTTCTAAATGACTTGAACATGCCTTTAAAACCACAACAAGTAAAAGCGCTTAAAGCCTTTCTTCTAAAGAAAAATGTTTGCGCCATCACCAGACACCATTTTTGACGTTCGTAATTTCCGCCTTTCTTCTGATAAGTTATTTTTGAAGTGGCTAGTCCCGCTCCTCATGAGCCTCTCTGCCTGTGAGTAACCAGACTAGTTCTCTGCAGAATTAAACAGGACGAGTCTGGCAGGCCTGGCTAGGTCATCAACACACTTCAGCTGAATCACTGGCACCTTTAATCACGCATGAGCACTTGCACTCATGTGCAGAGCACACTATTAATACGTTGCTTAACTAGTCTTGGTCATGTTTATTTTTAGAATGCGTTAGCTTATCCTAGCTGTTATCAGAGGGGTGAGACACACTAAACAGGGCCAACAGAGACAAACAACAGTCATGCACTGTCACACCTAGAGCCTACAGAGAAGCACAAGTCAATCCAATTTAAAAAATCCATCCATCCATTTTTCTGAACCCGCTTGTCCACATAGGGTCGCGGGGGGGCTGGTGCCTATCTCCAGCGGTCAATGGGCAATCAGGCGGGGTACACCCTGGACAGAGAGCCAGTCCATCGCAGGGCAACACAGAGACACACAATCATGCGCACACACACACATACACACACACACACACACACACACACACACACACACACACACACACACACACACACACAATTTGGACAGACTAATTAACCTAACAGTCATGTTTTTGGACTGTGGGAGGAAGCCGGAGTACCCGGAGAGAACCCCCACATGCACAGGGAGAACATGCAAACTCCATACAGAAAGATCCCAGGCCGGGATATGAACCCAGGACCTTCTCGCTGTAAGGCAACAGCTCTAACCACCCAATTTAAAAAATGTGTATGGAAAGTGGTTTCACTGGGGAAAACTCACAACTTTACAGAATTTCAAACTAAGAGTTTCAGTTATAAACTTTAAAAATGTAAGAAAGTGACCATGAACTTGTTCCCACTCAAACACCTTGGCCTTGTCCATCGTAACGATTGAGTAAAGTGGGAAAACAACGCAGACTCGGTTACCAAACACAAGGGCCTTGCTTATCTGCGCTTGCTCGACAGCGGAGCAAACTGTCCGCTATTAGCTCAAGGGCCACCTGATATCAAGTGACATCCAACACGAGGTGACACAGATAAAGCTCAGGTCAGCCAGATACCAGACAAAACAAAAGGCCGGTAGGGGGATTAAAAAAAAGGGAGAAAGTCCATATTGTGACCAGCTATGGATTTCTTTATAGACAAAACTTTTTCAGTAGAACAAACGTGATCCAAACACTCCAGCTCAGGTTCACATCTAGGCTGTCTGTACTTAAATGTTACTTCCATATTAGACAGTGAAAAGTGGTGCAGCAGAAACCAGGGAGACGGTTTAATTCTTTTATGCTAGCCTTTAGCTGATCCACGGTCTGCGTAGGTGCATCAGAAAAGCATTTGATCTGCTTAAAGGGGAACCCAACCCAGCCTTTATCCATCAGCAGAAGCTCTACAGTTTCACTCGAGGATTGTTTACTCGCGCAGGTTTTAAATTCATCATTTTAAGTGCCCATGTGTAGCACAGAAGAATTAGAGAGAGAATGCATTTCCTTCCTAGATGTTAATTTGTTTTAGACAACATGTGGCCTTGTTAAGGTGATCCCCGCCCCTTTGGGTGTGATTACAAGCAGCATTTTGGAGCTGATTAGCATTTAGCTTCACCTTATTAGGAAGAGAAGGTGAGCTATTTGCTTGATTTTTCTTTTCAGTTTTAAAAAATGTCTAGTTTTAACTGTTTATCATGTTTAGACCTTCACAAGACACATAATTGAGATCAGTGACTGATGATAACAATTCAGAAGTAGCTTATTTTGTTTAATCAATGTCATCGCACATGTTTTATTTACTGAAAAGGTCAGGCAGCCTTGTTGCAAACATGTTTTTATTAGCTTGATAAATTTACATTATGCTCTGTGGCTGCAACCAAAGAATTATCATCATCAAGAACTTTGCACATTCCTGAGGTTTTCTGGATTTACAAACTGATAAATTCACCTTGAAGGCTTTTGCGTTTATCTGTGCAGGCACGAAAACGTTGAGGCAAACAAACCAGATTTCTGAAATAGTCCTGATGTACTTTCTAACTGCTATCTGCACCATAAAAAAATAAAATAAACACATATCAATGTTCAAAAAGTATGTCTATTATCTATTTCTGCTGATATTTATCAGATTAAAATTTGGCATTTTTGATCAAAATGACTTCTTGATTTTTGCCCATAAACTCCATACATGCTAATTTATTAATTATGTGTTGTGTGTCTGTGTTTTAATGTGTACTTTTTTTAAACCAAAGTAAATAATAATCCTCTCATAAATGAAAGTATTCATCCTTTACCTGATGACCATGTTGCAGTGAGCACACATAGGAGTTCGCATCCCAGCGGGAATATGTTCAGCCATCTGAACCAGAGTGTCCTCATCTTTAGGGTGGGGCTGAGGGACAGGCCGGCTTGGTGCAGGACCCCTCGAGACACCTGCGCTGCCATTACCCTTCATCCCAAAAGATGGCGTGATCAAACTGGTCTGAGAGGAACGACCTACAAAGAGCAGATAGAAGCTGCAGTGATTGGGACACTCAGTAGCAAGGATAATAGAATAAACCAAAAAGATCAAAGTAAACTTGAGAAAATACAACAGCATCAAACGTGGCATGAGGTTTTATGTTTCCTCGAGGATTTGTGAGTTATTTGACCTCTAACCTCAGGAACCCTGCAGGTGTCAGAGTGGCATGGTGCAACCTGCCGATCACTTGTCACAGCTGTGGATTCATCACTTCAGTTGTGATAAACACACTCCGTATTTTTACTTTCAGCACATTCCTTAGGTGTATGTACGTGCATACACATGACCAAATGCACATAGACATTTAAACCACCAAAACGTTCAGTCTGCTGAAACTCAGACACCTGGCTCAACAGATAGCTCCGCCTTTCAGCTCATCGCCACAGGGAGATTTTGTGTTTTCGCGGTGAGGAAAAATTAAGGTACAGTGTCATGTATAGAGACTTTTTGAGAGAAAGGCATGGCTTTGGTTGCATTTTAAGATAAACAAAATCTTAATTAGCAAGAACAGCAGATGAGATGGGGCTGAAAACATTTACGTGCATAAAAATAGGACAGATCCTTTTTTATAAGATAAAAAAATAAACGTAATTTTGCTAAATGTTTTACAGTGCAAGGTTTGATTTTTCAGCCTGTTGGCATCGCTGGAAGTGATGAAACTCCAGAAACTGATTGAGCCACATCGGGGATAATCTGTGTTTCTAAAATTTGTTTATTTATTTCCATATCTGTTTTACAAATCCCAACTTTCACTGAGCCAGTTTACACTTCATTTTTACAAAAGACAAAAAAAAAATAAAATAAAATAAAATTCATGTAAACATTCAATCCTGTTAAACAGCATTACTCAGGATTCCACCTCAAGAAACGAAGCACTGGCTGAGATTCAAACTGCATCACACCGCTGTTCCAGCCCTCTAAACGTGGACAATTAAAATATTATTTTCCAATGAACATCACCAAGAAGCCAATTTCTTCTTTATTTTAGAAACTACACCTCTGAAATGGAACAGTTGCTCACAGCTGCCTAGTCGCTTTATGACTATAGTCATATGTTTTCATGAGCCTGGTTCCCTGACAAAGTGGCAATTTAAATTTTGCTGTAATTTGGCGTATTTGAAAAAATATTAGCAGAAAAACACAGACAATAATAAAACCATGAGTGTCACATTTACTTAAAAAATGAACATCCCATTCCAGACAGACAGGGATACAGCAGCTCTGTGGATAGACGTCTACATTTTTCTTTCTCCTAAGTCCCAACAGGTCCACTCAATAAATATTATCTTTCTGAGTAGAGTCACTGCACATGTTATGGAGCAAGGTGCCTCGGGCTAATTTAGAGCTGCTTTATGGGCTTCCACAGAGGAAAAACACAAGCAAAGGAAAGGAAAGTCTGCAGTGACCTATTTCAGAACACATTCCGGGTCTCAACTGGAAAAAAAAAGTTCTGTTCCATATGCAAATTGGCCATAGGTCTATGGTACAGGACTGGGACATACTTGCATGCATGCTGATATTTTGTAAATTTGCTCAATTCCTTCAAATATGTATGCTTTTTATGGTTCTATGAAGGAAAGTTTTCCCCTTTAAATCAACTTATTGCAAAGAAAACAGCCCAGCCACATTTGATATAATTCTTCAAGTTGTTTCAGAGTAAAAAAAAAAATAAAAAATACTACCAAAAATACACCCCGTTAAACCGTCGTATACACAAATCCTAACAGAAATCATTTAAATGGCAGATCTGGCACAAGGTTCAACGCACCATTCTGCACATTGCAGGCATCCTCTGCAATAAAAAAAGCCATTTGTTATTAATCCTATTCTCTTTGTCGATAGGAGACAAGCGTGTGTACTAAAATTAGGTTCATAAATAAGATTTTATGCTAGTTTATGCAACAGCTGGCGATGTTTGTAACTGCTGGTGACTCAGTGTGTGAGTGAGTGAAAGAGCAAATAAAAAATCAGAAAATGATCGGCTGAGATCAGAGGAGAGAACACACACAGAGCTTTTACCGTGGTTCAAAGCACTTCCTTTGATCATCGTCTTGACAACTGCAGACTGATGGGAGCTGAGTTCAGGCTCTTCCATCTCCTCACTGTAAAGAGACAAAATCACCAAATAGGATTCAACATTTAAATAGTTATAGGTGTTCCAGCAATTTTAAAAAGTTTCATTTTTATTTCACTGCTAATAGCAAAACCAGCATACCTCATGCAGTGAGGGTAGAAATAAATAAATAAAAACTCATGAACCAGAGCAGAAACTGATCTAAACACAACCTGCAGCTGCAGCACTCAGCTCCATGGCTCCTTTTTGTAAGAATTTAGCTCATAAAATGTTCCATGTGTCTCAAAACCAAACACAGTCCAGGCCACAGCGCTAATAATGGCCAGGGCAGAAGGCAGCTTGTGTAGCAGTAATAATAATAATACAACACGCATTCTAAAGGGGGTCTGGATATTTATTTAAGTTACTCAGATGAGACCACGAGGAGGAGGGGAAGGAGGTGTGGTGTCCTCTCAGAATGAGTTCACATTACAGATGAAATTTGGACAGATGGAGAAAAGACAAAGAGCAAATCAGCTGACATTTATGGCACTAAGTGAAATGTTGAACTGACTTAACCAAGTTATGTCAACAGGTACCACTAAACTTAGTTGATTAAATGTAAAAAGTTATATACATTGATATGTTATAAGTTACTTTACATCACTTTTTACATTTAAAGTGACAACTTGTATTTTCCCTGGCAACAGGAGGCAGTACAAACCTAAATCAGTGCAAGCAAACTGTATTTTTGTGTTTGAGTAAGACCTTACGAACAGATGGCCATATAGGGTAAAAATACCTGGGAGGGCAACCTCCAGCAAAAGGACAAGCATCACACTCCCTTTCATCACTGGCAACGAGTGAAGAGGTAAATGCGTTTTGTACTCATGGGCTCCCGTAGAAGGAAATACGGCGTCTAATACGGCATCGTCCTGAGACTAGGACCCGCTCCCGTGTGTTTTAGACCTGATTTTTACTGGGCATCAACAACTGGGCATCACTTCATTCATTTTCAACAACATTTCAATGAATATTTCCAGAGATTAATGGTAAAAACTAGGGATGAGCGAGTACACCACTATCTGTATCCGTATCTGTACTCGGAGTGGGCGTGGCCTAACCCGGAAATGGGTGTAGTTTAACCAATACGTTATTTTAAGTCTGATCAGAAGTTGCTATGTTTGTTTATTTGAAAACTATTTACAGAGCAGCCTCAGAGTTGAGATTAAATGTTTTTGATCACAATAGTAAATGAACTATTACAGAACAAGTTTTTCAATAAAATCAGAACATTATTATTTAAGTGCAAGAATTGAGAGAGAGAGAGAGAGAGAGAGAGAGAGAGAGAGAGAGAGAAGAAAATATTTTTTCTATAGCGCCTCTCAAGATAAAAATCAAGGGGCGCTTCACAAAAACAAAGCATGTAAAATAGAAAAAAGAATTTAGAAAATGATTAAAATATATTTAAAATGAGCAAAAAATAAGAAAATTGTGATTCAAATATGTAAAGAAAGAGAGAGAGTGAATAGGAACGAGGGAGTTGATCCTGAGGAAGAGGAGGGGGAAATAAAAAACCCGGAGCGGAGATAGTGACTGACGCAGCACGAGCCGTTTTCAGCTCTGTCTTGTCAAATGCACCACGTACGTTACGAAAAAAGTAACTTTAAATATCTTTAAAGTGATTTTAAAAAGAGGCGAACTGAAGAAAACATAGGGAGTACTGAAGAAACGTGAGCAACAGTGAAGCAAGCACAGAGAGATCCGTTGCTGTCTGTGTGTGTGCGTGGATGGACCGGACGCGGACTGAGCTCCCAGTGCAGAGTTTTGTGTGCTGGGAGGGGCGGGCGCTCTATTTGACTGGCCAATCACAGAGCGTGAAGACAGTCAGTTACCCAATAAGGATTTTCCTTCAGCACGATTACAGATATTTACGAGTTTTACTCGTTTCATGCTCGTACTCGTCAAAAATGCTTTATCCGTACATGTCATTGACCTCTTTCTTTCATTTCTTTTAAAAAATGCCCCTAACTCTCTTTATTAAGACTTTTCATCAAAGTCACAAAGACACATACGGATTTATGCTACAGCCCAGAGAGCAGATTTAGGAGGTAAAGCTAATGTTCCACGTTTGAGTGGTTTTGTAAAGTTGTGTGTTTAATGTTGTGAAAATCTAAACACTGGAGGAAATGACCAACAAAAAAGGTCCAATGAGACTTAAAGTCAGACTGTTACATCTTTAAACTCTGCTACATAAACTGTTACATATAGTTTCACAATAATATTACAAAAGATAATTATGATGTGAGGGGACTGGGGGAGGGGTCAAATGGTGTCTTCTTGAGTTAAAACCAACAATCCCAATTAATGTCACATTTAATCATGTGAAAAGGTAAAAACCCTTCTGGGACCGTATGGGACCGCTCAACTCTGCTAAATATTTCGATATGTGATACCAAACTCATGCTTAACTTTCTATTTGGGCCATCACAAGGATTCACAGTGCTCAGCATTAATGAGTACACCCCACTACATTTGTTAGAACACCTCCTTTCTGAATCAACATTTTCTATGAGATACCATCTGACAAAATACTCCCACAAATGTGGGCCATTGATTGCAAACAAGATTTGTTCATTTTCACATACAAAAAAAGTTCAAGACCATTTTGCAAAAATGACCACGCCCAAATTATAGTCTTAGGAGAAAAGCCACACTCAAGACTACAAAATTCGAATTAACAGGCATTCAACTACAGGTGAGTCTAATGATTGATTTAAGAGGTGTCCAGCAGACAGGTGACTATAAAAAGGCATTACTTAAAAGCCCTTCCCATTCCATGCTGTCAGCAATGGCTCCACAAGGAAGAGAAATATGTGAGAAAGAAAATAATTATTTAGGCAAAAAAGTGATGGCTATAAGAAGATCAGCAAAGCTTTACATATCAGTCACAATACCAATGAAGAGTAGAATAGAAGAACTTTATTGTCTGACTCCAAGCGGTTACAGAAAGTTGTCTTGCAACAGGGCTCATCGTCACCATCCATCGCATCATTCACACTTGCATAAAAACAATAAATACCGTAACAGAAATATGAAGACCAAAGCAACTGTAGCAAAAGTGATCCAATATTTAAGAAAGATGGAAGTGCATGTTTAAAAAGACTTTTAAAAATAGTACAAGAAAGCATATACAGTAGACTGACCTGGGATGTTTTTTATAGTTTGTTTTTTCTTCCTTTTATTTCTCCTGATATCTTAAAATTCAATTAGAAGACGTTATTTGGTGCTACAATTAAACAGCAAAATGAAGTTTTTACTTGTTAAACTTTTGGCATGCTGCTAGGCAGCTGAATCTTAGTAATATTTTATGAGTTATCAGTTTATTTTATTGTCATGACTTATTTACTTGTGTGAGAGAGGCAGACTTTATTCAAGATTTTCTTCTGTCTGCTCCTTTTTCATTTAAGCTGTGCAAGTTGTATTAGTTAGTGTAAAATAATTTTCTTTAAAAATGAATGAAATAAATTGAAAAAAAAAAGTGCAACCATCTTACAGAGACATCCAGGCCGTCCACGGAAGTTAACTTCTTGACAGGAGCATCTTCCGATGAGAAGGGTTGAAGAAAATCACCATGCAAGTTCACTGTAGTTAGCTACAGCAGTAGAAAGCCTAACTGGAGTGAACGTTTCCGGTGACATCATACGGAGAACACTGCAGAGGAATGGCATGCATGGGTATCATCCACGAAGGAAGCTTCTCATAAAGCCCAAGTGAAAAGTAGCACGCCTAGGATTTGCTAGGGCCCATGCTGGAAGAGATGAACTCATCATGAACTCAACATCCTGCTCTATACTGAAGGAGAAGATGCCACCATCACTCTGTGCACTTGATCGTCGTACACTTTTTCAGCACGACAATGATCCAAACACACATCTAAAGCTACTGAAGAAGAACAGGGTGAGGGTGATTGATTGGCCAAGTATATCTTCTGATCTGAACCCAGTCCAACACCTGTGGGGAATTCTGAAGCAGCAAGTTAAGCAGCACTCTCCATCCAGCATCCAGGCTCTAAAGGAAATTATTCTTGAAGAATGGAAAAAGATAGATGTTGCAATATGTCGCCAACAGGTTCATTCCATGTCTAGAAGACTGTCCTTGAAAATCACGGTGGTTATACAAAATACTAGATGTACTAGTTTTTGTTGTGGAGTATTTTCATTTTTGCTTCGACCAATTTTAGATAAACTGAAGATTTTGTGATCCAAATTATATTATTAACCTTAATTTCATGTTATGGAGTTAAACAACAGTTCAATAAAACCCAGCCTTGTGAACATTCTGGAAATGTGTCTTTCAATCATTGAGCTGCCAAAAACCACCTGAAAGAAGGAACACCACACACCAGTCAACGGATGACGACAGTTGAAGGGATTCAAGAGACGGAGACTCATTCACAGACTTAAGATGGAGGAACAACATCAGGACAAATTGGAACGATTCACCAAACAGATTTAAGGACTTCTGTTTTGTGAAATGATTCTAAAAAAAGATTTGGGTGTTTAAAATAAAGTTAAATTTGAATGTTCCTGTAAATGTAAGTTTATGAAATTAAATTCTAAATTAAAAGGAAAAGACGGACACATATGATGTGCTCCTGTCATGCAACACTGACTAAAACACCAGTCATGGTTGAAGTCGGCACTTTTAGGACACAAACTGCATAAGGTTCGAAGTGTTTACAGTACGTGGAGAATGAAGAATTGTCGTTTAGGTGGTATACGATATTTTAAAAACAAAACAAGACCTAAAAATATCAGTACAGTTTAATTAAATGCAAATGTCCACAAATTTATCCCAATCATTTTCCTTCCAATTTAAAGAAATGGTGTCGTTAATCTACAGTATTGTTTATCACACAGTGTTCCCTAATCCTGGCCCTGAGGGTACACCGCCCTGAATGTTGTAAATGTTTCCTTCTGCAGCTCACAGTCATTGACATAAAAACACACCATCCTAATTTAAACAACATGTGTTTAGTCTGGATTT